CTGAGCGTCGCCGCGCCGCGCTTCGACAAGGAGCGCGGCGCGGTGTCGGTGTATAGGCTCGCGTAGGCGGTCCAAGTACCTCCCCCCCCCGTTCGCTTCCGTTTCCCCCTCCCCTCTTCGCCTCGCTAAAGCACTGTCGGGGTCTGTTCTGGCGTGGGGCTGGTGTCGGCGGTGTTGGGTGCCCCGCGGGCCGCGGGCGACTCGGAGCTCATCGGCGTGGCGTCCACACCTTCAGGTCGTGAGATCGTTGCACCACTCGAGCAGCTATCAGAGCACGCACGAGGTCGCACCGCCCGTAAGCCGCGCGCTGAGACGCGAGGGCCCGCCCCCGCGTATCAGAGCACCCGGAGCCCCCTAGATCACTTCCCGACGATGCTCACCCTCCTCTTCGCCGTGACGGTCGTCGCCCCTGCCGCGGCGCAAGTCGAATTCCTCGAGACGCACGTCGTCGGCCTGTCCTGGAACCCCGGCGTCGTGTCTCTCGGTTGGCGCGTCACGGCCGACTCCGCCGACGAGCGCGACTTCTTCCTCCGCGTCAAGGACCGCACGTCCGGCGGCGGCTGGGTGGACACGGCCGTCGTCGCCGACGCGCGGACCGACGACGACTGGTACGTCTGGACGGGATCGCCCTCGGACCCCTTCGCCTGCGGCGCGGAGTACTTCGTGCAGATCAAGTCGCCCGCCGGCGCCAAGTCGTCCAAGATGGCCCTCAAGATGCCCTACTGCGACGGCGAGTGCGTCGACGACGCCGCCTGGTTCTTCAGCCAGTCGTACAAGACGTGCGCGTGGATCGGCGAGAAGCTGGGCCAGGGCGCGTCCGCGAGCCGCCTCTGCGAGAAGACGGACCTCGGGGCGACGAGCGCCGACGCCGCGTGCCCCCAGGCGTGCGGCAACTGCGGTCTCGGCTACGAGCAGGGCCCGACGCCCGAGCCGACGACGAAGCCCACGCCCCTGCCCTCGAGCGACCCCACGCCCATGCCAACGGCCGAGCCGACGGCGCAGCCGACGCCCGCGCCCCGGCCGACGTTCGGCGACGACGCGTCGATGTACCACTGCTTCCTCGCGAAAGACAACGCGGTCGACGGCAAGTACGCCTACGGCGTCTGGGACAGCCGCTGCTGCTACACGACTGTGATGACGCCCATCGACGAGCCCGCCGGCTGCCCGGCCGAGGGCTGCACGACGCCCGTGTGCACCGACGACCTCGCCGACCACCCGTGCTGCGTCTCCTGCCCCGGGAACTCGTGCGGCCTTTACCCCTACACCGACGCCCCCGGCTGCGGCGACCGCCGCCTCGAGGAAGCGCTGCCCCCGGCGACGACGTCGGGGCTCGTGGGGGACGACGCGCTCGCGACGACGTCGGGGCTCCTGGCGTCCTCGGCGGCCTTCTCGTACGCGCCCGACGACGCGGGCCGCCGGTCCCTCGGCGGCGCCATACATCCCTGGCAAGAGTTCTGCATGAACCTGGAGCACGAAAAGGCCGGCCCCATCGTATCCGTGCCCCGCTGGACCCGCGTCCGCGCGGAGTCGCCGGGCGACCTCTTCGGTTTCAGCGCGAAGCACTTCCACAACCTCATCGCGGGCAACCAGTTCCTCGGCGCGACGTTCTACTGCAACGTCGGCTGCGACACGGACGCGGCGGGCGGCGTGCAGGCGCTCGCGCGCGACGTCATCACGTCGAACGGCGATCAGTACGTCCACCTCTTCGCCATGGTCCAGTTCTCCGACGGCAAGACCGAGGAGCACTACCAGTGGCTCTTCCACATCACCGAGGACATCGCGCCGGTCTCCGACACGGACGACACGCCCTGCCCGTCGCTCGAGGAGGCGCGCTTCAGGACGAACGGCGGCTGCCTCATCGTCAACATCCCCTACCACTCCAAGTACCGCTACGACTACCACCACGAGGGCCAGCCGACGCCCGCGCCGGTGGGCGGCGGCGGCGGCGGCGGCGGTCTGCTCGTGGGCGACTGGCAGCAGAAGGCCGAGTTCGACGGCGAGGAATCTGACGACACGTCAGGGCGGAGCGCGATGTCGGGCGACGGCACGACGGTCGCCGTCGGCGCCCTCGGCAACAGCGACAACGGCCATCAAGCGGGGCACGTCCGCGTCTACAAACGAAGCAAAGACGGGACGTGGTCGCAGCGCGGGGATGATATCGACGGCGAGAAGAATTCGATATCCGGCTGCGCCGTGAGCCTGAGCTACGATGGCGAAACGCTCGCCATAGGAGCGCAGTGGTTCGACGGCGGCTTCATGCTCGTGGGCCACGTCCGCGTGTATCAATGGTCCAACAAGAAATGGACGCAAATCGGCCCGGACCTGCAGGGGCTCCGCGGCGCCGACGAATTCGGGAGCGCCGTCGCGCTGAGCTACGACGGCAAAACGCTCGCCGTCGGCGCCGAGAGCAACGACGGGGCCGCCGGCGCCCACTACGGCGACGAGAACTACGGCGCCGCGTACGTCTACATTCTCGACTCGGAGATCTGGGTGCAACGCGGCTCGGACATCTACGGCAACGCGCTCAACGGTGAATCCGGGAATGCCATCGCCATCAACGAGCTCGGCACCATCGTGGCGGTCGGAGCCCAGTATGCCGACGGATCGCGTGGCCAGGTCCGAATCTTCGCGTGGGACGGCGCGGCCTGGAACCAGCTGGGCGCCGACCTCTTCGGGGAAGGCGCGGACGACCGCTTCGGTCGCGTGATTGCGCTTGATGCGAGTGGGCACATCCTCGCCGTCGGGGCGACCAAAAATGACGGCGGCGCGGTCGACGGCGGGCACGTGCGCATCTTTACGTGGGATGGCGCCGCGTGGAACCAGCGCGGGCCCGACATCGACGGCATGGTCGAGAAGGGCTACAGCGGCCGCATCGCCCTGAATGGGGTTGGCACCGTGCTCGCGATCGGAGCGACGAGCGTCCCGAACCCCGACGGCGCGCAAAAGGCCGGCGTCGTCCGCGTCTGGGGCTGGGCGGACGACCGGTGGCATCAGATCGGCGCCGATCTCTGGGGACAGGATTCGAACGACATCTTCGGCGCCTACACGGCCATCTCCGCCGACGGCAAGACGCTCGCGGTCGGCGCGCCCTGGCACGACAGCGAGCGGGGGCATCTGCAAATCTATGAGCTCGACGAAACCGCGGACTCGGACTTGGCAGGGGACTCGGGCAACACCGCCTCTGGCGACATCGGCGACGGCAACTCCATTGATGGCGGCGTCGCCACGGACGCCGCGGGCCTCACGGTCGGCGGGGAGCTTTCTCAGGACTGCGCGACGAAGACCAAGAAACGAAAGTGCAAAAAGGCGGCCGGCTGCAAGTGGAAGAGAAAGAAGAAAAAGTGCCGCGCCCGCGCCAAGTAGATAGCAAAGCAAGCTATCCTTAAGATACGATCGTCTGTCGCCGAAACCGGGGAGGGGTCCCTGGCATGTAAAGACCAGCACCCCGGCGGGGATAACTAGCTTACCTTCGTCCAGCTAGCATCTTCGAAGAGAGAGAGGCATGGTCTTTACTTGCCAGGAGGGGTCCGAGCTTGTCAAGTAATCGTCGAATAGCTTGTCCATACCACGTTAAAGCACCCATAATAATAATAATAATAGCCAAGTCGATCTGCCAAGTCGCAGTAGTCGTTGACTTCACCATGAACAATGAAGTGATTTTGCGACCAGTGGGGCGCAGCAGCCCCGAGCCCGCGACGATGGGCTGCTCACAAATGCGCTTACGAAAAACCATCCTGCTCGCATGCGTCCTCGTAGGACGCGCGGCGACGCCGGCGCTGGACGCGGCGCGGGCCCGCGCGGCGGCGGCCAAGGGCGGCAGCGTCGGCGGCGCCATGTCCGCCGTGGAGAAGGCGCGCGCGGCGAGCGCGCGCGCCGCCGCCGGCGGGGCCGCGGCGTCGCCGGCGAGCCCGCCGAAGGCGAGCGACGCGCCGCCGCCGCCGCCGGCCGCCGCGGCGGCGGCGCGCGGGTCCGGCGCGGCGGCGAGGAGTCCCGCGGCGGCGGCCGCGCGGGCGGCGGCCGCCGCGGCCAGGAGCCGCGCGGCGCAGGCGGGCGCCGCGGCGCCGCCGAAGCCCCCGGCGACGGCCGCGGCGGCGCCGCCGAAGCCGCCGGCGACGGCCGCGCCGCCGAAGCCGCCGGCGCCGGCGACGGCGACGCCGCCGAACCCGCCCGCGCCGCCGAAGCCGCCCGCGGCGCCGCAGCCGCCCGCGGCGCCGCAAGCGCCGGAGCGCATGAAGGTGGAGACGAGCGCGGCGGTCTACAAGCGCCTCGAGGAGGCGAACACGACGAACCTGCTCGACCTCGTGTCGCGCGTGCCGCTCCGGAGCTACGAGCTCGCCCACGACTCGCTCGAGGGCCGGCGGCAGCTCGGCGCCATCGGCGAGGACCTCGAGTACTTCATGCCCGAGGCCGTGCAGGTCGGGCGCCGCGCCTTCCCGAACCCCGAGGACCCCAAAAAGCCCATCCTCGTGGACAACTTCGCGCACGTCGACGCGACCGTGCTCTTCATGCACGCGCTCGGCGCGACGCAGGAGCTCGCGCGGCGCCAGGGCGGCGTCGACGACGAGCTGGCGACGCTGGGCGCCCTCGCCGACGCGACGGAGACGCGGCTCCGGGACCTCAACGCGACCGCGCGCGCGGCGGCCGCGGCCGCCGCCGAGGAGCGGCGCCTCGCGGCCGCGCAGCGGGAGCGCCAGGCGACGCTCGAGACGCGACGCGTCGACGCCGAGGCGGCCTACGAGAAGTCGAGCGCCCTGGAGCGGGCGACCCTGGAGAACGCGACGCTCGCGGGCGCGGACGGCCGCGCGCGCGCGCGCGCGGCGCGCGCGGACGCGCTCGCGCGCCAGCGCCACAACCGGAGCCTCGAGCTCGAGGAGGAGACCGTGGCCCTGTCGGAGGCGCTGCGGTCCGCGACGGACGAGATCCTCACGGTCCAGAAGCTCGAGGACGAGCTCGCCATCGAGGCGCTGAAGCGCGCGGCGGAGATCGCGCGCGTCCGCGCGGAGGCGGAGGCGCGCGCGGAGATGGAGCGGCTCAACGAGGACGTGCGCCTGCGGGCCATGCGCGCCCGGGCCCACGAGGCGCGCGAGCGGCTGCTCGCCGCCATCTCCCTCGCCTTCGACTACGCGGCGCGCGGCGCGATGGCGCTGCTCAGCGACGACCCGCGCACGCTCGCGACGCTCGTGGGCGCCGTCGTCGCCTGCGTCGGCGGGGCCTTCTTCGCGCGCGAGGCGGCGGTGCTCGCGCGGAACCTGGCCGAGGCCTACTTCGGGCGGCCGCGGCTCGTCCGGGAGACGTCGCGGATCCGCGCCGCGCGCTTCCGCCACGTCTGCCACCTGCTCTTCCTCTTATTGTTGGCGCAGCCCGCGGCCTGGGCCCGGCGCGAGGCGACAAGCCTCGGCCGGGCCCTCCTGCGCCGCGGCCGGGTTTTAGCCTGCCACGCGGCGCGCGCCCGGGACCCGAAGCGGCGCGAGCGCGCGCGCGCGCTCGCGGCGCGGCTCGCCGCGGCCGCGGCCGCGGACGCCGCGGCGGAGGTCCAGGCCGCCGCCGACGCCGTCGCCGCGGAGGAGGCGGGGTTCCTCGACGGCGTCGTGCTGCCGGCGGACCTGCGGCGGCGCCTCGTCCAGCTCGCGAACGCGACGCGAAACGCGAAGGCGAACCGGTCGCCCTTCCGCCACATGCTCCTCCACGGGCCGCCGGGCACGGGCAAGACGCTGGTGGCCAAGCGCCTCGCCAAGGCCACGGGCCTCGAGTACGCCCTCATGTCCGGCGGCGACGTCGGCCCTCTGGGGCCCGAGGGCGTGACCGCGCTCCACAGTTTGTTCCGCTGGTCGCGGACGTCGTCCAAGGGCGTGCTCGTGTTCATCGACGAAGCGGAGGCGTTCCTCGCGTCGCGGTCCAACGGGCGGCTCACGGAGCACATGCGCAACGCGCTGAACGCGTTCCTGTACCAGACGGGGTCGCCGACGTCGCACTTCGTGCTGGTCCTGGCGACGAACCGCGCGTCGGACCTCGACGAGGCCGTGCTCGACCGCACGGACGAGGAGCTCTACGTCGGGCTGCCGGACCTCGCCGCGCGGCGCCACCTCGTCGAGCTCTACTACGACCTCTACCTGCGGAAGCTCCAGCGCCGCGGCGGCCGGCTCGCGGCGGTCCTCCGGTTCCTCGGTGGCCGGCCCGCGCCCCTCGACGTGGGCCCGGGCGTCGACGACGCGGCGACGCTCGGCGCCGTCGCCGAACAGACCGAGGGCTTCTCGGGCCGCGCCATCGAGAAGCTCTTCGTCGCCGTGCAGAGCATCGCCTACGGCAACGACGGCCGGCTCGACGCGGCGACGCTGCGATCCGTCGTCGACCACAAGGTCCGCGAGCACGCGCGCAAGCGCCACATGGACGGCGAGCACGGCCGGCCCGAGGCGCCGGCGCAGCCCGCGCGCGCCTGGATCACCGACGCCATGGCCGGCGTCGACGAGCCGCCCGCGCTCGCGGCGCCGCCGATGCCGCGGAGCGAGCCCGCGCCGTCGCGCGAGCCCGCGGAGCTCGTGCTCCTCGAGGTCGAGGACGAGGCGCCCTCCGAGGACGGGTCCACCTCCGACGAGGCGCCGGGCTCGCGGCCCCTGGCGAAGCCGCGCAAGAGCCCCCAGGTCAAGGGCCACACGTCGCCGCGCAACCCCGCGGCGGCCGCGGCGCCGCCGCCGCCGCCGCAAAAGCCCGTCGGGACCCCCCAGGCCGACCTCCGCAAGGTGCCCGCGAAGCCCAAGCCCGCCGTCGAGGTGGACGCCGCCGGCGCGCCGGACCCGTCGGAGCTGCCCTTCGTCGAGAAGCGCGAGATCTTCTCGCCGTCCGACGGGTCGTCGCCCCGGAGCCGCGACGGCGAGGCGCCCAACGACGGCGCGGCGCGCCGCGACGACCGTTCGCCGTCGCCGCCGCCCCTCGACGGCGGCTCCAAGTCGTCGTCCGTGGACTCGCTCAAGGACGCGGCCAAACAGTCGCTCGAGGGCGTCGCCAAGTTCGTCGCCCAGGGCATCACCTTCGTCAAGCCGCCGCCGCGGTCGCCGCCACCGGCGTCGGACTCCGACGGCGAGTCGCCCCGGGGCGCCGACGAGGTGCCGCCGCTCCCCGGCGCGACCGACCTCCGGGCGTCGCCGGACCCGGAGTCGCCGAGCTCCTTCGCCGTCGAGCGCCCCTTCGCGGCGACGGCCTAAACGTTTTTACATGGCGTTCAGCCCCGGCCTCCGGGGCTCAAACGTCAGATTCGCGTAGTCCGGCGCGTGCTCCGGGGGCTTGTCGTCGGCCCAGCGCAGCGTGCCCTTGGCGTACGCGACCTCCGTCTCGCTCCGCGCGATCGTCAGGCTCCGGATGATGCCCGTGTCGAGCGCGTCGACCTCGAGCGTGTTGCCCCGCGCCAACGGCACGCTGAACTGGGACCGGAACTTGCGCCAGTCCGACGCGCGGTCGCCGCGCTCGAGGCCGCCGGCGACGTCGAAGACGTCCATGTAGTGGCGCGTGTTCCCCGCGATCTCCATGTCCGTGTGCTTCGGCGCGTGGACCGCCGTCGCGGCCCGCGGGATGCAGCGCGTGACGACGTAGTCCGTCGACTCCCGGTTCCGCGGGCACTCGCGCGTGAAGAGCGGCCGCGCGCGATCGCGCGCGTGCTGCGTCGCGGGCCGCCAGGGGTCGCGGTGGCGCTTCTCGAGGTCCGCGACGCGCTGGATGGCGGCGCTCGGCCGGCCCTGGTCGAACTGCTGCCTCGCGTAGGCCAGGATGCGCTGCGCCTCGAGGATGTACGCGTCGACGGTCTTCCGCGCCTGGTCGCGCCGGTGGCTCCGGTCCGCGAACGGGGCCCCCTTGATGAGCTTCGCGAGCCGCGACACGACGCGCGCCAGGGGCACCTGGGACTGGTACTTGCGCCGCCGCGCGTAGGCCTCGAGGCCCTTGGCGCTCCGCAGCAGCAGCTCGAGGTGCGCCTGGCGCCGGCTGCACTCGATGCCGTCGGCGCGGGGGAAGGCCGCGACGGTCATGTCGCGCGCGCTGCCCCGGTCCGTGCCGTAGAGCCGCTGCGTGCTGTCGAAGAGCGACGTCGGCCGCCCGTTCTTGTCCCAGCCGCTCACGACGCGCGACGGCGGGCCATAGACCGACATGCTCGACACGGAGCGCTCTGTCGTTTTTTTTTAGCGGTTCAAGAAGTGTTCAAGTGTTACGATTTGGGAGAGCGTGTGCAAGGACGCTGATGTTCGGCATGCGTGCACCTTGGGTCTGATCGTGGGCCGCCACCATGAACGACGCGGAGACGCCACCGACCGTCGCCCCCGCGGAGGTATTTTATTTGATGGGCGGCCACGTCCTGGGCTTCCTTGCCATGCGGCGCCACGGCGCGGGCTGGCACTGCCGGTCTTGCGCTTGCGGCGCTGCGGGCGACGGCCCGGGCGCTCGCGGCGGGCCCCGAGCAGTGTCCTGCGGCCGTGACGATTTTCGAGAGAAATGACCGGGGAAACGGCGAAAGACCGAC